CAGGGCCTCAAGAACAGAGTGTATTAGGCATGGGGCAATTGGGGAAGGATTTTTTTTTCAGCATAATGAGTATTCGCCTGTTCTTATGGGGATATTGTGAAGCCTAAATGCAACAGTGAGGTTTCATTGTGTGCTCTTATCGAAACATTTAGTGCAGATTCTCTATGAAGTTACAGGTCTAATGAACCCTTCATGTGATCTGTATAATGACAGGAAATAAGTGGTCACTGGACAGTTATAGAACATGAGTATATAAAGTTTTAAAAACCTTATAGAGGGACATTTACAGGCCAAGAAACCTCATAACATGTTTTGGGTTTTTTGCCATTATTTCTATCAAGTCTAATTCTCCTGTATCGAATTCTGAAAATCTGAATCTGATGAAGATATGAAAATGTTCATAGTCAAACTTGCACCAATAATGCTTTATTTCTTGTGCAGTTTTCACACGGCCAGTTGTAGTGTGTTTCTGATTTCTTCCGCTAATATTCATGATTTTTTAATCCAAGGGTGATGCTATGGATATTTTCTGAGGTAAATCATGAGATTTTCAGCCATGTTTTTGGATGTAGAGTCTGAGGATGGGGCACAGGTGAGAGGGAGTGGAGTTGGCTGGGAGGGGGAAAGGGTGGGGCAGGGACAAGGGAATGTGAGTACAAGCAGAAACGGAAGTGAAGAGAGGCAAGAAGATAAGCTCACCCTTCTGAACCGTGGTTAGCTCTCCATGTGTACACGTATAATAAAATCTTTGAGTGCTCATAGCAACACTATGAGGTTAAGCATTTTTACTGCTACCATCCTTTTCAGCAGCTGGGGAAGCAGAAACACATAGCGGTTAACGGGTGAATGAATTTGCCCAAAGTCACCTTCCTGGCAAGAGCTGAATCAGATCGGTGCCCAGGCCAGAGAGGAACAGAGACGAGTTGTATCTGACCCCCAATCTGGAATACAGTGTGATGTCTAGTGTCCTCTGGATCAAAAGACAGATCAACCTGTCGATCTGCAGGACACTTTACTGTGTGTGAATCTGTGTATGGATTGAACACAGTGTCTCCTAAGTGCATGAAAGACCATGGGGTTTCATGTCAACATGCACACATCACAGAGAAGAGTTCCTGGTCAAAATGAAGGCCTCAACATGTGTTTCCTGTGACCAACATTAGTGGAGCACCCTCATTATTATGGAAAGTAGCATAATCGTTTTATAATGATAAACAGAACGGCAGATACAGTATCATGAAGACATTAACTTGCCTATCTCATACTTTTTAAAAATGAACAGAACAGATCCTGGAAGGCAATAGACCACTTACTAAGTTTGTTTGTTTGTTTTTTGTTTTTGCTCTCAACTGTGACATTCTAAATAATTTCCAAATAACGATTTTTTTAGCTTTTTAAAAAATAATTTTTCATTGATTGATTCTTATTTACAGTATTGGTTTGATTTCTGTCATACATCAACCTGAATTAACCATAGGTGTAGGTGTACAGAGGTCCCATCCGTCTTGAATCCCTCCCACTTCCCGCTCATTCCCACCCCTCTAGGTTATTACAGAGCCCCCATTTGAGTTCCCTGAGCCGTCCAGCAAATTCCCATTGGCTCTCTATTTACATATGTTGGTGTACATGCATCCATGCTACTCTCTTTCCATTGATCTCACCCTCTCCCTCTCCTCCCCCACCTTTGTGCCTAAGTCTGTTCTCTTAAGTCTGCATCTCCATTGTTGCTCTGCAAATAGGTTTATCAGTACCATCCTTCCATACCACTTATGTGCGTTAATATATATTTGTTTTTCTCGTTCTGACTTACTTCACTATGTATAATAGGCTCTGGGTTCATCCACCTTCTTAGAACTGACTCAAATGCATTCCTGTTTTTCTATGGCTGAGTAGTATTTCATTGTATATATACACCAAAGCTTCTTTCTCCATTTTTCTGTCAATGGACATCTAGCTTACTTCCATGTCTTGGCTGTTGTAAATAGTGCTGCAATGAACACTGGGGTGCGTGTGTCTTTTTAGCTTTGGATTTTGAAGTATGTATGCCTAATAGTGGGATTGATGGGTCATAAGGTGGTCCTAGTTTTTTAAGGAATTCCATACTGTCTTCCATAGTGGCTCTATCAATTTACATTCCAACCAGCAGTATACGGGGCTTCCCTTTTCTCCACACCCTCTCCAGCACTTGTTGTTTGGATTTTTTGATTATGCCCATTCTGTCTGATGTGAGGTGATATCACGTTGTAGTTTTGCTTTGCATTTCTCTTATAATGAGCTTCCCTGATGCCTTAAGGGGTGGAGAGTCTGCCTGCAGTGTGGGGGACCCGGGTTCAGTCCCTGGTTCGGGAAGATCCCCTGGAGAAGGAAATGGCAACCCACTCCAGTGTTCTTGCCTGGAACATTCCTTGGACAGAAGAACCTGACAGGCTACAGTCCATGGGGTTGCAAGGAGTTGGACATGACTGAGCGACTAACACTCATTGATAATGAGTGATGTCAATCATCTCTTCATGTGTTTATTAGCCATCCATATGTCTTCTTTGGAGAAATATCTGTTTAGGACTTTTGCCCACTTTTTGACTGGGTTGTTTGTTTCTCTGGTATTGACGTGTATGAGCTGCTTGTATGTTTTGGAAAGTAATACTTTGTCAGTTGTTGCTTTTGCTGTTCTTTTCTCCCATTCCGAAAGTGGTCTTTTCACTTTGTTTGTAGTATCCTTTGCTATGCAAATCTTTTAAATTTAATTAGCTCCCACTTATTTATTTTTGTTTCTATTTCCTTTATTCTAGGAGGTTTGTCATAAAGGATGTTGCTGTGATTTATGTCCTTCAGTTTTCTTCCTGTTTTCTTCCGATTTTTATAGTTTCTGGTCTTACCTTTAGGTCTCTAGTCCATTTTGTGTTTACCTTTGTGTATGCTTTTAGGAAGTTTTCTAATTTCATTCTTTTGCACTTAGTTGTCCAGTTCTTCCAGTCTCTTGTTCTCTCTTGTTCCCATTGCATATTCTTGCCTCCTTTGTCAAAGATAAGGTGCCCATATGTTTCTGGGTATTTCTCTGGGCTTTCTCTCTCGTTCCACAAAAACACTTTTGTTTTTGTGTCACTGACATACTGTCTTGGTGACTGTAGCTTTGTAGTATAGTCTGAGATCAGGTAAGTTGATTCCTCCAGTTCCATTCTTCTTTCTCAAGGTTACTTTACCTATTCAGGGTCTTTTGTGTTTCCATACGAACTGTGAAATTTTTTTATTCTAGCTCCATGAAATATGCCATTGGTAATTTGACAGGGATTGCGTTGAATCTGTAGATTGCAGTTGGTAGGACAGTCATTTCCACAATATTGATTCTTGCAACCCAGGAGCATGGAATATCCTTCTGTCTGTTTATATCATCTTTGATATCTTTCATCAGTGTCTTATACTTTTCTGTATACTGTTTCATTGCCTCTTTTGGTAGGTTTATCCCTAGGTATTTGATTCTTTTAGTTGCAATGGTAAATGGGATTGATTCCTTAATTTCTCCTTCTGATTTTTCATTGTTAATATATAGGAATGCATGTGATTTGTGTGTATTGATTTTGTATCGTGCAACTACTAAATTCACTGATTAGTTCTAGCTCTTTTCTGATGGTATCTTTAGGGTTTTCTATGTACAGTATCATGTCATCAGCAAATAGTGTGAGTTTCACCTCTTCCTTTCCAATCTAGATTCCTTTTATTTCTTTCTTTTCTCTCATTGCTGTAGCTAGCACTTCCAAAAGTATTTGAATAACAGTGGGAAGTATGGGCACCTTTCTCTTGTTCCTGATCTTAGAGGGAATGCTTTCAGTTTCTCACTATTTAGAATAATGTTTGCTGTGGGTTTATCATATATGACCTTTACTATGTTGAGTCAGGTTACATCTATACTCATTTTTGAAGAGTTGTTATCATAAAAGGGTGCTGAAGTTTGTGAAAAGCTTTTTTCTGCATCTATTGAGATTATCCCTTGGATTTTGTCTTTCAGTTTATTAATATACTATATCGCATTGATCAGTTTGCATATATTGAAGAATCCTTGCATCCCTGGAGTACATTTGACTTGATCATACTTGTGATCTTTTTAATGTGATGTTGCATTCTGTTTGCTAGAATTTTGTTGCTGATTTTTGCATCTGTGTTCATCCTTGCCATTGGCCTGTTATTTTGGTTTTTTTCTGATATCTTTGTCTGGCTTTGGTATCAGGGTGGTTGTGCTGTCATAGAAGGAGTTTGGAAGTGTTCCTTCCTCTGCATACTTTGGGAAGAGTTTCAGAAGGATAGGTATTAGCTTTTCTCTAAATGTTTGATAGAATTTACCTGTGAAGCCATCTGTCCCTGAGCTGTGGTTTTTTGGGTGTTTTTGATCACCGTTTTGATTTCAGTTTTTGTAATAGTCCTGTTCATAATTTCTATTTCTTCCTTGTTCGGTCGTGGAAGGTTGAACTCTTCTAAGAATCTGTCCATATCCTCAGGTTCTCCATTTTATTAGCATACAGTTGCTCGTAATAGTCTCTTATGATCCTTTCTATGTCTGTGTTGTCTGCGGTAACCTCTGTGTTTTCATTCCTAATTTTCTTTTTTTTTCCCCTAATTTTCTTGATTTGATTTTTCTCCTTTGTTTTCTTGATAAGTCTGGCTAATTTTCAATTTTGTTTATCTTCTCAAAGAACTAACTTTTTGTTTTATAAATCTTTACTATTGCTGCATTCATTTCTTTTTCATTTATGTTGGCTCTGATTTTTATGATTTCTTTCCGTCTACTAACTTTGGGTTTGGATTTTTCAACTTATTGTTCGAGCTGCTTTAGGTGTAGTGTTACGCTGTCTATTTGATGTTTTTCTTGTTTGTTGAGGTAGGCTTGTATTGCTCTCAACTTCCCTCTTAGCACTGCTTTTACTGATTTCCTGTAGATTTTGGAAGCAGACAGCCCATAAACTAGAGAACAATTATCCTAAAGAAGTCCTCTCACTGTTATGAAAGTTCTAGGATCCAAGACAGATTTCCCACCCTATGGATCCAGCAAAGGGACTGAGAACTCCCAGCATATTTGCTTCTGGAGGCCAGTGGGTTTGGTTACGGAACTTCCACAGGACAAGGGAAACAGACTCTTGGAAGGCACAGACAGAACCTTGTGTGCACCAGGACCCAGGAGCAAGGAGCAGTGAGGCCACGAGAGAGGCCAGTGAGTGGTCAGGAGTCTCTGTTGGAGGCGTGTGTGGACAGTGGCCTGCCATGGCTTCAAGAGCACTGACTGTAACAGTCCTGGCATAAGTCCTTTTGAATGAGGTCGCCATTACCACCATGGTCATCACTCTTTCTTCATGAAATATGGAATTCTTTGTACTTCTCACACATATACCAAGACAGTTTTCCGCCATGAGATATGGAATTCTCTGTATCTCTTATATAAAAATCTGGGTGAAAGAACATGAGACGTGGAACAACCAGAAGAGGAGGCCCAAGGCATCCACAGCCTAGGGGTGAGTGGTCCACGCATTTGTGTGGTGCCCATGCCCAGGACAGCAACGAAGGAAGGATGGCCAGGGACAGCTCCTGACAGTGGGCCCACAAATCTGCAATTAGATAGAGAGAGATAAGCAAGCTCACAATTTCTGCTGTGTTGTTTTGTCTGTTTGTGTCGTTAAGCAGGGGTAGGGGGTTTGAGGAGTCACCCAGAGTAAATCAAGTGGTGTGGGGCTTTAAAACCGCTGCCTGTGGACCCCTCCATCTGTGGGGCATTGGCTGCCATGGGAACAGTAGTTATGGCTCCTGTAGGACCCAGGATTGTGAAGAGACCAAGGTCCTTGAGAAAAGGGTAAAGACTGGGAGGAGGAGGCAAGGAAAGAGAGCCTGCTTCACTGGAGACTTACTTCTCCCACACATGTGAGAAGGAGATAGCTGACGGTCCTGGGCTAGTGCTGCCTAGCATCAGCCTGTCAGCCAGCACCCTCCCGCCCCCAGGGTGGCACACATTGGCACCATGCAAGACAAATGACGTGCTAAGGTAAGCGCTCGGTTGGCAAGCCCAGGCATCCCAGGAGAGACACGGCATGGGTATGGCCTCCATCCGGGCACTTCCAGGTAAATGGCCGTGCAGAAAGGTGAGAAAAGCAATGGTGTGGGGTGCATGTGTGTGCCCCTGTGCTGGTGTGTGTCTGTGAGAGAGAGAGCAGTGATGAAGCACGGTTGGGGGGCCGTTTGTTTGCAGGGACCCTGGGGCAGTGAGAGACAGTTGGCAGTTCAGAGCCTGCTGCTTGTCAGGCTCCAGGGGTTAGTGCATAGCAGTCCTGCAAAAGAGGCCCCATTGCTTGCTCCAGAAGTTTTGACATTACTTTCGTCCTTTCTTGGCAGTTTCTTCCTTGGCCATGGAGGGCAAAGTGTTAAAGGTGTCAGTCTGCACCTGGAGGAGAGTCCTGAAAGCCTCACGGGAGCACAACCTCTGCTTTCATCATGGAGTTCCTGAAGGAGACCTGCACCACGTGACTCTCACAGGGACCCTGGATTCTAAGTGAGTGTCTTGGATGTCCCCCAGCCCAACCATTAGCTGGGTTCGGTGGCCCACACTGTGTAAAAGAGTTAGGGAATGCCTGAGCTGTAGGCAGACCTACCACAGGCTAGCGAGGGCAGCAGAAAGAGAGCCTTGCCATTCATCAAGTCAGTGAGGCCTGGAGGAATCAACCCCTCTTGGTGCATTTAGGAGAGGAATGCTGCTTCCTGTACAAGGGAAAGGAGAGCTGTGGGCGTAGGGCGGGCAGACATGCCAGGGTGCCTTTCGTGTGGGGCTCTTTGTCGGTTGGTAGTAGTAAACTGTAGAGCCGACAGGAAGGGAGGCCAGCTTACCATTTCGGCTGTGCGTTCAGTGCTTCGTTTTGGCAGAGACCCTTTCGATCCATGTGCACCTTCTTCTCGGCACTGTATCAGAGTGAGAGGCCTGTCACATTCTCTTTGCCCTTTCGGGGGACCGGGCATCTATTTGGCCTTTTCCTGCTGCAGGAAGATAGCAATTGTGTGAAAAGGAAAACAAGTTGCAAACGGAAAAGTACAGAGTTAGGAAGAGCAAGGGAACCTTGCTCAGGAGGTGTCAGCCCCGGGGAGGGCGTGCTGGCCCTGCGACGAGCACGGCATTGGTAAGGAATGATCTTGAGAGGTGCACGCTGAGAAAAAGATGTTCTAAGTCAGCTCCATGTCCGTTTTTCCACGTCCAGTCCTAACTGGTGCTTCTTCACCTGTACACAGATTTCTCATGAGGCAGGTAAGGTGGTCTGCTATTCCCACCTCTTTAAGAATTTTCCACATTTTGCTGTGATCCACAACAAAGGCTTTGGAATAGTCAGTAAAGCAGAAGTAGATGTTTTCTGGGAACTCTTGCTTTTTTGATGATCCAACCGATGTTGGCAATTTGATCTCTCTGGTTCCTCTGCATTTTCTAAATCTAGCCTGAACATCGGAAGTTCACGGTTCACAAGCTGTTGAAGCCTGACTTGGAGAATTTTGAGCATTACTTTCCTAGTGTGTGACATGAGCGCAACTGTGTGGTCATTTGAACGTTCTTTGGCATGGCCTTTGGGATTGGAGTGAAAACTGACCTTTTCCAGTCCTGTGGCTCCTGCTGAGTTTCCAAATATGCTGGCATATTGAGTGCAGCACTTTCACAGCAGAATCTTTGAGGATTTGAAATATCTCAGTGGGAATTCCATCAGTTCCACTAGCTTTGTTGGTAGTGATGCTTCCCAAGGCTCACTTGACTTTGCATTCCAGGATGTCTGGCTCTAGGAGAGTGATCACACTATCGTGGTTATCTGGGTCGTGATGATCTTTTTTTTATAGTCCTTTTGTGTATTCTTGCCACTTGTCCTTAATATCTTCTGCTTCTGTTAGGTCCAAACCATTTCTGCCCTTTATTGTGCCCATCTTGGCATGAAATGTTCCCTTGGTATCCCTGATTTTCTCGAAGAGATCTCTAGTCTTTTCCATTCTGTCGCTTTCTTGTATTTCTTTGCATAGATCACTGAGGAAGGCTTTCTTATCTCTCTGTGCTAATTCTTTGGAACTCTGTACTCAAATGGGTGTAGCTTTCCTTTTCTCCTTTGCCTTTAGCTTTTCTTCGATGCTCAAATATTTGAAAGGCCTCCTCAGACAACCATTTTGCCTTTTTGCATTTCTTTTTCTTGGGGATGGTCTTGATCACTGCCTCCTGAACAATGTCACGAACCTCCATCCATAGTTCTTCAGGCACTTTGTCTATCAGATCTAATCCCTTGAATCTATTTGTCACTTCCACTGTATAATCATAAGGGATATCACATAGATCATACCTGAATGGCCTGGTGGTTTCCCCTACTTTCTTCAATTTAAGTCTGAATTTTGCAGTAAGGAGTTCACAGTCTGAGCCACAGTCAGCTCTTGGTCTTCTTTTTGCTGACTCTATAGAGCTTCTCCATCTTTGGCAGCAAACAATATAATCAATCTGATTTGGGTATTAAACAACTAGTGATGTCCATGTTTCCTTCAAAATGTCAAAGTGGGGAAAAGACTTAGTCATAGTTAAACAATTTGAGAGAGCAATGGTGTCAAATTGTCACCATCTGGGAAATCCTCTGTCTATATTTAATGTTTCATCTACTCACTTTTTTTTTTTTTGCTTTGCATTTTGTCCTGTTGAAAGCATCCAGTTGTAGTGGTATCTGCTACTCAGGTAATTAAGTCATAAAAATGTACAAATCATGGACAAAACCCTGACCTCACACTCTTTCCAGACTCATGCCCTTTGCTTCTTGTGTAACCCACACAAAAGTCAGTGCTTCACATAATCCAGTCTCCATACTGAATGCCATTCAAAGCAGCACAGCTTAGCCTCGAAAAGTAACTAAACTTCACTGAAATAATCTGAGAGAGTACCAAAGCAGACCCAATTTTCAAATCCCACAGTAGTTATAATCCAGTTTTCTCCTCCTCACTCGTAGTAGCTCTCCTATCATATGAGTGCCTTGAATTTCTCAGTCTCATTCTCCACCCAATACCTTTTAAAAATGTCTCTATAACACTTAACCTATGTGATGTTCTCCCTTTTTGACTAAATCCTTCGACCCCCAGTTCAATCTTCTCTTCTTGCCCACTTTTCCACAGTAATATTAAATCAGTCATGTGCCTTGCCATTCTCCAGCTCTTTTCATTACAAGGACAGCCTCAGACTTTTTCACATGAGGGGGTACCATGTAATGAATTGAGTTAAACCAAAATTCATATATTGGAGCCCTGATTCCTAGTGTAACTGTATTTGGAGATAGGGCCTTTCAAGAGGTAAATAAGGTTAAATGAAGCCCTTAGGGTGGGTTTGAATCCAATAGGACTGGTGTCCTTCGAATAAAAGGAAGAGATGCCAGGGATGTGCATGCACAGAGGAAAGGCTGTGAGTGAGAGGACACAGGGAGAAGACAGTCGTCTGCAAGCCAAGGAGAGAGGCCTCATGAGAAACCAAACCCACTGCCATCTTGATCTTGGACTTTCCAAAACTTTGAGAAAATAAATTTCTGTTGTTTGAGTCACCCAGTCTGTGTTACTTTGTTACAGCAGCCATAGCAAAGTAATACAAAGGGCTTAGGGCAACAAATTGGTCTAGGCAAGATGCTGTTAAATTGGGCTTCCCCGGTGGCTCAGCGGTTAAAAATCTGCCTGCCAGTACAGGAGATGCAGGTTTGATCCCTAGGTCTGGAAGATCCTCTGGAGAAGGAAACGGTAACCCACTCCAATATTCTTGCCGGGGAAATCCCATGGACAGGAAGCTTGGCAGAATACGGTGCATGCCATGGGGTTGCAAAAGAGTTGGACACAACTGCAACTAAACAACATTTATTTAAATTGGCCTTCATGATGGTGAGGGTTGAAGAGATTATTTGTGGCATTCAAGTCCCCCACCACAAGACCCCTGTTTCTCTGATGTTGTTGCTGTTTAGTTGCTAAGTCGTGTCCAACTCTTTTGTGACTCCATATACTGTAGCCCTTGACCAAACCCATCTAAACCTCATTTCCTTTACTCTGAGATATCTGAACACATTGTTCCACTCTCTGGTGTAACTTCTCAGCATCTCCCAGCTCTGAAGTCTGCTTTTTCCTAACCAAGCAAACCTGCCTTCTTTGACCACAGGCAGCTGGTCTGTATGACGACCTCAGCGTACTTCCTGTCCCTTCCTTCCCACCTCATCTTCCCCGAAGATGCTCATGCCATTGCCTATAAGACCCAGCAGTCAGGGCATGTATTGAGAGCACTGTGCCCAGACAAAAGAAGTACATACTGCCCCCTCCATATTCACGTGCTAGGGCCACGCTAACAAAGCACTGCAGACCAAGGGACTTAAACAACAGAAATTCACTGATTCAC